TCGGCCATATCCCATCTCTACAACTGAGGCCAGAGTAGCATGTCACCGCTATTGTCTGGCGGGAACCAGGTTTAGTTCCCGAGGGACAGGACGGGTCACACTACATCACCCCCTCCATCCCTCTCCCCCCACCCTTGTTAGTGGTACCTGCCATGGTGGGGGCGGCTACAAGTCAAGGTCACAGCCAACACCTCATCACTTAATGAGGTTATGGAACTGCCAACACTAGCTGTCATCTGGAGGACTGATTCAACATATCAGACGAGACATTAATGAGGTCACCTGCCTTGCTATAAAGAACACCGGTGACCGGAAATGAACAGCCAAGAACAACGGAGTGGATTGGGCAACGGTTGCGGGATTACACAAGGTCTTGCCCACTCCTGAGGTTTCTGATGCGCCGAGCAACAAGATGTGAAACTTGGTGGCTACGTAAGAACAGCACGTTCCCTCTAGAGTGTGCATGATACGCCAACGCGGATGCACGATTTGCATCTTGGGCCTACAATCATGTGCATGATGGGATAACGAAGAAAGTCGTAAAGGCCTAGTACGACGTAGCAGAAGAAACACCTGTAAGTGGATGGAACCCAAGAGCTGGAGCCGGGACCCGAGGGTTCTGCCGCCACGCCCACCCCGCCTCAACGAACTGGAGCTGTTCACTCATCAAGCAAGACCTCGTCTGGTGTCAACGTCTCAGTACTCCCAGGAAGTCAACATGTATGCGGCAGACAGAACATCGCCAGCAGACGTTCAGCAGGCGACAACATCTTACAAGAGGATGGAACCCAGGTACGCCAGAGTTCCCCCTGTGACCGGACAGCAAGTCAATCATCGCTGTCAACACCGACGTCATCGCCTCGTCGACGACCCGGAAGGATGGACCAGCAGCGCGGATGTACTGCGGATTGTGGACTAGATCAGTGGAAGACTCTAGTCAGGAGGGGAGTGGATCTCTTCTCACAACAACTGAGGCCAGCTGAAGAACATCGTTGGTGAAGAACACGACGCATCGTTGCAGAACTACAGCGAGAATACAGCAATGGGCGAGTCAACAACATCGTGACAACGGATTCGTCGGGAATAAAGACTTTGTTAATTTGTATATACAATATATATGTAGTTTTTTTTAAGTTCAGAAAACTTGGTGTTCACCGTTACAGAGAAAATGTTATGAATGACAATTTTGTGTCGACTCTGGTGAACTGGGGAACCAGCGGAAAGATGGTTCCAGTATAAATTTAATTGTTTATCATAAATTGTGTGTTAATTTTTTTTTCTTCTCAAATTAATGTTGATTTGTCATCTGAGAGGATTGATGGGCTGCCATGCAGGTATGGTTAGCCTGGATTTTGAGTTACCATGGTAACTGTTATTGTTGAGAGTTTTTTATAAATATTTCTCGACTGTGAGATGTGTATATTTAGATAGGGTAGCTATTTTTTTTTTCGAGGCATGTGCTAGTTCCTTTGTGGTCTGGGATAAGAAAAGCCATGTTCGAGTTCCTCGCCCACGGTTTTTCTTAAACCGGGACATTGGGGGATATGTAACAAGAGAGCAGTACATAGTACATGAACATCATAACAGCATGAACAAGCCACGTGGAGGATGAACAAACCACGGGCGCCAGACAGGCGGCGGCAGACAATGTAAAAGTTACACCTCTGTACAAGTTAGCCATAGAGTCAGGTCAACGGTCATCGAATCACAAAGAGGTCAGAGTTGATGCCGTCATGATAATCTTCAGGGATTAACCCCTAAACATCAAATGCAAAACCCTCATGTTCAGCTGAGGAGCGGGAGATCATGGGGAGACAGTAGAGTGGGCGCAGCCCAGTAGGAAGGTGTGTGTGGACTCGGGGAAGGAACATCATCTCCAGGAAAACTGTGGAACAACATACGAGTAAGTACGGCTCTCTTGTACTAAAGCACCTCATTCAGTACCCTTGGCCTCTAGTAGGGAATATAGTTAGGGAGTGTCTTATTTAATTATTTCAAATAAAGTCATATATTAAGTGTTATTAAATGTGTATTAATGGTTCCTTGTCTTAGTGATATTGGGCCTACCGTCCCCTTTGCCCCAGTGACCTAGTGTTCTTAATTATCCAGTACTCCTCCCCCCGTTCGTCTTCCGTGTTGAGGTGTTAGTATTGGGTGTGTCCCGCCTTATTCTTGTGTACACTATAGTTCCCAAGTGGTCAGGATTATTCGAGTGTCAGGCCAGGATCCTTGTACCGTTCAATTGTCCCCTACACCTGTCCTGGTAGGTTATTCCATCTGCAAGACCTACGACTCTCACTCCGGTCCCCTGTCCGGTAACTCAGGGTGGTGGCAGCGTCACTCGGTAACTCATACGATAGGTTGTGACTACGATTATCTCTATCTTTCTGTCTCACTCTCCCTCCCTCAGTCGTCTCACTCTCCCTCGCCCTCGCTCCTCTCCCTCCCTTGCTCTCGTTCTCGCTCTGCCTCTCTCTCCTCCTCTCTCTCTCTCTCTCTCTCTCTCTCTTCTCTCTCTCTCTCTCTCTCTCTCTCTCTCTCTCTCTCTCTCTCTCTCTCTCTCTCTCTCTCTCTCTCTCTCTCTCTCTCTCTCTCTCTCTCTCTCTCTCTCTCTCTCTCTCTCTCTCTCTCTCTCTCTCTCTCTCTCTCTCTCTCTCTCTCTCTCTCTCTCTCTCTCTCTCTCTCTCTCTCTCTCTCTCTCTCTCTCTCTCTCTCTCTCTCTCTCCTCTCTCTCTCTCTCTCTCTCTCTCTCTCTCTCTCTCTCTCTCTCTCTCTCTCTCTCTCTCTCTCTCTCTCTCTCTCTCTCTCTCTCTCTCTCTCTCTCTCTCTCTCTCTCTCTCTCTCTCTCTCTCTCTCTCTCTCTCTCTCTCTCTCTCTCTCTCTCTCTCTCTCTCTCTCTCTCTCTCTCTCTCTCTCTCTCTCTCTCTCTCTCTCTCTCTCTCTCTCTCTCTCTCTCTCTCTCTCTCTCTCTCTCTCTCTCTCTCTCTCTCTCTCTCTCTCTCTCTCTCTCTCTCTCTCTCTCTCTCTCTCTCTCTCTCTCTCTCTCTCTCTCTCTCTCTCTCTCTCTCTCTCTCTCTCTCTCTCTCTCTCTCTCTCTCTCTCTCTCTCTCTCTCTCTCTCTCTCTCTCCTCTCTCTCTCTCTCTCTCTCTCTCTCTCTCTCTCTCTCTCTCTCTCTCTCTCTCTCTCTCTCTCTCTCTCTCTCTCTCTCTCTCTCTCTCTCTCTCTCTCTCTCTCTCCTGTTTACTGGTTTACGTCTTCGTATGACGGCCCGAGTGTTAACATCTTACATGATCGATAGCATCTGTTATTACCATAGAAAGAGCGGAGATTGCACGGTTAGCTCAGTGGTAGTAGCGGAGTGCGCGGTCGAGATAGATAAAAGGCGAGATATTACATCATGCCCAACGTGCGAGGTATCCTGGGAGGTGACCGACACGCTTCTAAGCGGACACCCCCACTCCACACCCGCGGGGCTCACCACAGCGACAATGACCGACACGGGGTCAACCCTGGGGAGTCGGCCTCGGAGTGGACAGCATTCACATTCCCACACCCGCCCTGGGGCCAGCCTTCCAGGCCTGGTCTCTGTGAGGGCAGGCTACTACGACGAAGATATAACCGGGATCGCCCAGTCATTCGCCATGGTGGAAAGCGCTCCCTGCTTGGAGTACAAACCCGGCAGTAGGTCCTTATCCCAGGGCACAGTCGGTGGGCCAACCCGCCTCTCTGCTCCACGGCTCATCAAGTTGGAGCTCCATCGGCCTACCAAGCGAGCTGCGTCTGTTAGCAGCATCTGTCTAGTAGACCCGGATTGGTACCTTTTTCAGTCAGGAAAACCTGATTATTTTTTAATGGCCTCTCCGGGCGTACGGGCACGCTTACGGCCATGGTAGCAAGATGTCATGTTTCTACTTATAGCAGCCAGCTTCCGCTCGCCCTTCGAGGGTGGAGGTTCCGCGGCGCTGGCCTTCACGGGATTGGGGGTGCTCCGACGGAACCCGGAGCCAAGTGATAAGCCAAGAATACGAGATCTCTCTTCATTGTATTTGATTTAATCATTATAACGGCTATCCAATAATTTTATTTTTGTATAATAATTTATGGTTTTTCACTAATCATTATTAGTCACCATAATTAATTCCACTTTAATCATCTATTTATTCGTTATAATGAGCTACTAGGCTTCATTTAAGGATTATCAATTATTAAATCATTAATTATGACTATTATTAATTAATTATTTGTTTAAATAATTAATTATAATTATTATTATAAAATAAACAAGTCCCCCACTCAGTGAGCGTTTTCTTCCAACCGCAGAAATCTTCATTATTGGACAGGAGTATTGGTTGCTTATTTAAAACCTTTTTTTATCTCATTATTTGTGAAATAGTGCTCCATGTTTTCTTAATGATGCCCTTTATATGGGAAAATTTATTTTCGTAGTATTTAATTTTGGCTCTCCTAATTATTTTAGATAGCACTGATGAGTAATTCTTTGAAAATTCTTTGGGGACGATTCCTGACCTATACTTCTTCTCAAGGTCATGTTTTTTATTAATACAGGTCATGTACAAGTACGAGCGTCGGGTCAGGTACGAGTGTCGGGTCAGGCACCCAACAGAGTCTCGGGAGCCGGTCGGCCGAGCAGACAGCATGCTGGACTTGTGATCCTGTGGTCCTGGGATCGATCCCAGGCGCCGTCGAGAAACATTGGGCAGAGTTTCTTTCACCCTATGCCCCTGTTACCTAGCAGTAAAATAGGTACCTGGGTGTTAGTCAGCTGTTACGGGCTGCTTCCTGGGGACACTAGCCTGGTCGAGGACCGGGCTGCGGGGACACTAAAAAGCCCTGAAATCATCTCAAGATAACCTCAAGATAGGCACGAGCATCGTGTCAGGTACAAGCGTCGGGTCAGGTACGAGTGTCGGATCAGGTACTAGTGTCGGATCAGGTACGAGCGTCGGGTCAGGTACTAGCGTCGTGTCAGGTACGAGCGTCACATCAGGTACGAGCGTTGAGTCAGGTACATGCGTCGGGTCAGTACAAGCGTCGGGTCAGGTACATGCATCGGGTCAGGTACAAGCATTGGGTCAGGTACGAGCGTCGGGTCAGGTACATGCGTCGAGTTAGATACAACCGTCGGGTCAGGTACAAGTTTTGGATCAGGTAAAAGCCTCGGGTTAGATACAAGAATGGGGCCGGCTACTAGCATCGGGTCAGGTACGAGCGTCAGGTCAGGTACGGGTGTCAGGATAGGTACGAGCATCGTGTCGGGTACAAGGGTCTGGTTTGGTACGAGCCTCGAGTCAGGTAAGAGCGTCGGGTCAAGTACGAGCGTCGGGTTAGGCACGAGCATTGGGTCAAGTACGAGCGTCAGGTCAGGTACGAGCATCGGGTCAGGTACAAGTGTCGGGTCAGGTACAAGCGTCAGGTCAGGTACAATCGTCGGGACAAGTGCATGCGTCGGGTCAGGTACATGCGTCGGGTCAGGTACGACCTTCGGGTTAGGTACATGCGTCGGGTCAGGTACGAGTATCGGGTAATCTTGAGATCTTCTTGAGATGATTTTGGGGCTTAGTGTCCCCGTGGCCCGGTCCTCCACCAGGCCTCCACCCCCAGGAAGCAGCCCGTAGCAGCTGTCTAACTCCCAGGAACCTATTTACTGCTAGGTAAAAGGCGCAACAAGGTGAAAGAAACATTTTGCCTATTTGTCTCCGCCTCCACCGGTATTCGAACCTGGAACCTCAGGACTTCGGACAGGAATCCGAAGTGCTCTCCACCCAGCTGTCAGGCGCCCTTAAGGTATGAGCGTCGGGTCAATTACGAGCGTCGGGTCAGGTACGAGCGTCGGGTTAGGTACGAGCATCGGGTTAGGTACGAGCATCGGGTCAGGTACGAGTATCGGGTCATGTATAAGCATCTGGTCAGATACTAACGTTGGGTTAGGTACGAGCGTCTGGTTAGATACAAGCGTCGGGTCAGGTACGGGCATCAGTAAAAGTAGAAGCATCGGGTCAGGAACAAGCGTAAAGTTAAGAACGAGCCTCGAGTCAGGTACGAGCGTCGGATCAGGTACGAGTGTCAGGTTAGGTACGAGCTTCGGGTCAAGTATGAGCGTCGGGTCAGGTACAAGTGTCTGGTTAGGTACAAGCATCGGGTTCGGTTCATGTGTCGGGTCAGGTACGAGTATCAGGTTAGGTAAAACTGTTGGGTCAGGTACAAGCGTCGGGTCAGGCACATACATGCATCGGATCAGGTATAAGCGTCGAGTTAGGTACATGCGCCAGGTCAGGTATGAGCGTCGGGTCAGGTACATGCGTCGGGTCAGATACAACCATCGGGTCAGGTACAAGTGTCATGTCAGGTACAAGCGTCGGGTCAGGCACAAGCGTCGGGTCAGTTACAAGCGTCAGGTCAGGTACGAGCATCGGGTCAGATATTAGCGTCGGGTCAGGTACGAGCGTCTGGTCAGGTACGAACGTCGGGTAAGGTACAAGCATTGGGTCAGATACTAGCGTAGGATCAGGTACGAGCGTCGGGTCATGTACGAGCGTCGTGTCAGGTACATGCGACGAGTCAGGTAGATGCGTATTGTTAAGTATAAGCGTCGGGTCAGGTACGATCGTTGGGTCAGGTAAGAGCGTCGGGTTCAGTATGAGCGTCGGGGGTCAGGTACTAGTGTCGGGTCAGGTACGAGCGTCAGATTAGATACATGTGTCGGGTCAGACACAAGCATCGGGTTAGGTACGAGCGTCCGATCAGGTACCAGCGTCGGGTTAGGTACAAGTGTTGGGTCAGGTACTAGTGTTGGGTCAGGTACGAGCATCGGGTCAAGTACGAGCATTGGGTCAGGTACAAGCGTCGGGTCAGGTACTTCCGTCGTGTCAGATACAACCGTTGGGTCAGGTACGAGCGTCGGGTCGGGTATGAGCGTCGGGTTAGGTACGACTGTCGGGTAGGTACGTTCATCGGGTCAGGTGCGACCTTCGGTTTAGATATGAGCATCAGTTCAGGTACTAGCGTCGGGTCAGGTGCATGTGTTGGGTCAGGTACAAGCATCTTGTCAGGTACATGCGTTGAGTCAGGTACGAGCGTCGGGTCAGGTGCATGCGTCGGGTCAGATACGAGCGTCGGGTTAGGTACGAGCATCGGGTTAGGTACGAGCATCGGGTCAGGTACGAGTATCGGGTCATGTATAAGCATCTGGTCAGATACTAACGTTGGGTTAGGTACGAGCGTCTGGTTAGATACGAGCGTCGGGTCAGGAACGGGCTTCAGGATAAGTACAAGCATCGGGTCAGGAACAAGCGTAAAGTTAAGAACGAGCCTCGAGTCAGGTACGAGCGTCGGACCAGGTACGAGTGTCGGGTTAGGTACGAGCTTCGGGTCAAGTATGAGCGTCGGGTCAGGTACAAGTGTCGGGTTAGGTACAAGCATCGGGTTAGGTTCGAGTGTCGGGTCAGGTACAAGCGTCGTGTCAGGCACAAGCGTCGGGTCAGTTACAAGCGTCAGGTCAGGTACGAGCATCGGGTCAGATATTAGCGTCGGGTCAGGTACGAGCGTCTGGTCAGGTACGAACGTCGGGTAAGGTACAAGCATTGGGTCAGATACTAGCGTAGGGTCAGGTACGAGCGTCGGGTCATGTACGAGCGTCGTGTCAGGTACATGCGACGAGTCAGGTAGATGCGTATTGTTAAGTACAAGCGTCGGGTCAGGTACTTCCGTCGTGTCAGATACAACCGTTGGGTCAGGTACGAGCGTCGGGTCGGGTATGAGCGTCGGGTTAGGTACGACCGTCGGGTAGGTACGAGCATCAGGTCAGGTACGACCTTCGGTTTAGATATGAGCGTCAGTTCAGGTACTAGCGTCGGGTCAGGTACAAGCGTCGGGTCAGGTACAAGCATCGTGTCAGGTACATGCGTTGAGTCAGGTACGAGCGTCGGGTCAGGTGCATGCGTCGGGTCAGATACAACCATCGAGTCAGGTACAAGTATTGGGTCAGGTACAAGCTTCGGGTTAGGTACAAACATCGGGTCAGGTACGAGCGTCAGGTCAGCTACGGGTGTTGGGATAGGTACGAGCATCTGGTCAGGTACAAGCGTCGGGATAGGTACGCGCCTCGAGTCAGGTACGAGCGTCGGGTCAAGTACAAGCATCGGGTTAAGTACGATCGTCGGGTCAAGTATGAACGTCGGGTCAGGTACGAGCGTCGGGTCAGGTACGAGCGTCAGGTCAGGTACGGGTGTCAGGATAGGTACGAGCATCGTGTCGGGTACAAGGGTCTGGTTTGGTACGAGCCTCGAGTCAGGTAAGAGCGTCGGGTCAAGTACGAGCGTCGGGTTAGGCACGAGCATTGGGTCAAGTACGAGCGTCAGGTCAGGTACGAGCATCGGGTCAGGTACAAGTGTCGGGTCAGGTACAAGCGTCAGGTCAGGTACAATCGTCGGGACAAGTGCATGCGTCGGGTCAGGTACATGCGTCGGGTCAGGTACGACCTTCGGGTTAGGTACATGCGTCGGGTCAGGTACGAGTATCGGGTAATCTTGAGATCTTCTTGAGATGATTTTGGGGCTTAGTGTCCCCGTGGCCCGGTCCTCCACCAGGCCTCCACCCCCAGGAAGCAGCCCGTAGCAGCTGTCTAACTCCCAGGAACCTATTTACTGCTAGGTAAAAGGCGCAACAAGGTGAAAGAAACATTTTGCCTATTTGTCTCCGCCTCCACCGGTATTCGAACCTGGAACCTCAGGACTTCGGACAGGAATCCGAAGTGCTCTCCACCCAGCTGTCAGGCGCCCTTAAGGTATGAGCGTCGGGTCAATTACGAGCGTCGGGTCAGGTACGAGCGTCGGGTTAGGTACGAGCATCGGGTTAGGTACGAGCATCGGGTCAGGTACGAGTATCGGGTCATGTATAAGCATCTGGTCAGATACTAACGTTGGGTTAGGTACGAGCGTCTGGTTAGATACAAGCGTCGGGTCAGGTACGGGCATCAGTAAAAGTAGAAGCATCGGGTCAGGAACAAGCGTAAAGTTAAGAACGAGCCTCGAGTCAGGTACGAGCGTCGGATCAGGTACGAGTGTCAGGTTAGGTACGAGCTTCGGGTCAAGTATGAGCGTCGGGTCAGGTACAAGTGTCTGGTTAGGTACAAGCATCGGGTTCGGTTCATGTGTCGGGTCAGGTACGAGTATCAGGTTAGGTAAAACTGTTGGGTCAGGTACAAGCGTCGGGTCAGGCACATACATGCATCGGATCAGGTATAAGCGTCGAGTTAGGTACATGCGCCAGGTCAGGTATGAGCGTCGGGTCAGGTACATGCGTCGGGTCAGATACAACCATCGGGTCAGGTACAAGTGTCATGTCAGGTACAAGCGTCGGGTCAGGCACAAGCGTCGGGTCAGTTACAAGCGTCAGGTCAGGTACGAGCATCGGGTCAGATATTAGCGTCGGGTCAGGTACGAGCGTCTGGTCAGGTACGAACGTCGGGTAAGGTACAAGCATTGGGTCAGATACTAGCGTAGGATCAGGTACGAGCGTCGGGTCATGTACGAGCGTCGTGTCAGGTACATGCGACGAGTCAGGTAGATGCGTATTGTTAAGTATAAGCGTCGGGTCAGGTACGATCGTTGGGTCAGGTAAGAGCGTCGGGTTCAGTATGAGCGTCGGGGGTCAGGTACTAGTGTCGGGTTTGGTACAGGTGTCGGGTCAGGTACGAGCGTCAGATTAGATACATGTGTCGGGTCAGACACAAGCATCGGGTTAGGTACGAGCGTCCGATCAGGTACCAGCGTCGGGATAGGTACAAGTGTTGGGTCAGGTACTAGTGTTGGGTCAGGTACGAGCATCGGGTCAAGTACGAGCATTGGGTCAGGTACAAGCGTCGGGTCAGGTACTTCCGTCGTGTCAGATACAACCGTTGGGTCAGGTACGAGCGTCGGGTCGGGTATGAGCGTCGGGTTAGGTACGACTGTCGGGTAGGTACGTTCATCGGGTCAGGTGCAACCTTCGGTTTAGATATGAGCATCAGTTCAGGTACTAGCGTCGGGTCAGGTGCAAGTGTTGGGTCAGGTACAAGCATCTTGTCAGGTACATGCGTTGAGTCAGGTACGAGCGTCGGGTCAGGTGCATGCGTCGGCTCAGATACGAGCGTCGGGTTAGGTACGAGCATCGGGTTAGGTACGAGCATCGGGTCAGGAACGAGTATCGGGTCATGTATAAGCATCTGGTCAGATACTAACGTTGGGTTAGGTACGAGCGTCAGGTTAGATACGAGCGTCGGGTCAGGAACGGGCTTCAGGATAAGTACAAGCATCGGGTCAGGAACAAGCGTAAAGTTAAGAACGAGCCTCGAGTCAGGTACGAGCGTCGGACCAGGTACGAGTGTCGGGTTAGGTACGAGCTTCGGGTCAAGTATGAGCGTCGGGTCAGGTACAAGTGTCGGGTTAGGTACAAGCATCGGGTTAGGTTCGAGTGTCGGGTCAGGTACAAGCGTCGTGTCAGGCACAAGCGTCGGGTCAGTTACAAGCGTCAGGTCAGGTACGAGCATCGGGTCAGATATTAGCGTCGGGTCAGGTACGAGCGTCTGGTCAGGTACGAACGTCGGGTAAGGTACAAGCATTGGGTCAGATACTAGCGTAGGGTCAGGTACGAGCGTCGGGTCATGTACGAGCGTCGTGTCAGGTACATGCGACGAGTCAGGTAGATGCGTATTGTTAAGTACAAGCGTCGGGTCAGGTACTTCCGTCGTGTCAGATACAACCGTTGGGTCAGGTACGAGCGTCGGGTCGGGTATGAGCGTCGGGTTAGGTACGACCGTCGGGTAGGTACGAGCATCAGGTCAGGTACGACCTTCGGTTTAGACATGAGCGTCAGTTCAGGTACTAGCGTCGGGTCAGGTACAAGCGTCGGGTCAGGTACAAGCATCGTGTCAGGTACATGCGTTGAGTCAGGTACGAGCGTCGGGTCAGGTGCATGCGTCGGGTCAGATACAACCATCGAGTCAGGTACAAGTATTGGGTCAGGTACAAGCTTCGGGTTAGGTACAAACATCGGGTCAGGTACGAGCGTCAGGTCAGCTACGGGTGTTGGGATAGGTACGAGCATCTGGTCAGGTACAAGCGTCGGGTTAGGTACGCGCCTCGAGTCAGGTACGAGCGTCGGGTCAAGTACAAGCATCGGGTTAAGTACGATCGTCGGGTCAAGTATGAACGTCGGGTCAGGTACGAGCGTCGGGTCAGGTACGAGCGTCGGATTAGGTACGAGCATCGGGTCAGATACAAGTGTCGTGTCAGGTACGAGCATCAGGTCAAGTACGAACGTCGGATCAGGTACATGCGTTGGGTCAGGTATGAGCGGCGGGTTATATACAAGCGTCAGGTGCAGTACATGCGTCGGGTCAGATACAACCGTCGGGTCAGGTACGAGTGTCGGGTCAGATACAAATGTCGGGTCAGGTACGAATGTCAGGTCAGGTACGAGCGTTGGATCAAGTAAAAGCATCGGGTTAGATACATGTGTCGGGTCAGGTACGAGCGTCAGGTCAGGTACATGCGTCGGGTCAGATACAACCGTTGGGTCAGGTACAATTGTCAGGTCAGGTACAAGCGTCGGGTCAGGTACTAACGTTGGGTCACTTACAAGCGTCGGGTCAGGCACGAGCATCGGGACTGGTACGAGCGTTGGGTCTGGTACTAACGTCGGGGCAGGTATGAACATCAGGTCAGGTACAAGCGTCGGGTAAGGTACAAGCGTCGGGTCATGTATAAGCGTCGGGTCACGTACGAGCGTCGGGTCAAGTACAAGCGTCAGGTCAAGTACAAGCGTCGGGTAAGGTACAAGCATCGGGTCAGATACTAGCATCGGGTTAGGTACAAGTGTCGGGCCATGTAAAAGCGTCAGGTCACGTACAAGTGTTGTGTCAGGTACATGCGTCGAGTCAGGTAGATGCGTAGGGTCAGGTACAAGCGTCTGGTCAGGTACAAACGTCGGGTCAGGTACATGCGTCAGGTCAGATACATGAGTCGGGTCAGATACAAGTTTCTGGTCAGCTACAAGCGTCGGGTCATGTACAAGCATCGGGTCAGATACTACCGTCGGGTCAGGTACATGCGTCGGGTCATGTACAAGCATCGGGTCAGATACTACCGTCGGGTCAGGTACATGCGTCGGGTCATGTACAAGCATCGGGTCAGATACTACCGTCGGGTCAGGTACATGCGTCGGGTCAGATACAACCGTCGGGTCTGGTACGAACGTCAGGTCAGATACAAACGTCAGGTCAGGTATAAGCGTCGAGTCAAGTACAGGTCAAGTACAAGTACGAGCGTTGAGTCAGGTACAAGCGTCGGGTCAGGTACAAGCGTCGGGTCAGGTTCGAGCATCGGGTTTGGTACAAGAGTCGTGTCAGGTACGGGCATCAGGTCAGGTACTAGCGTCGGGTCAGGTACTAGCGTTGGGTTAGGTACGAGCCTCGGGTCCAGTACAAACGTCAAGTTAGGTTCAAGCGTTGGGTCAGGTACGAGCATCAGGTCAGGTACTAGCGTCGGGTCAGGTACTAGCGTTGGGTCAGATACATTCTTCAGGTCAGGTATGAGCGTCGGGTCAGATACAACCGTCGGGTTCGGTACGAGCGTCGGGTCAGATACAAGCGTCGGGTAAGGTAAAAGTGTCGGGTCAGGTACTAGCGTCGAGTCAGGTACGAGCGTTGGGTCAGGTACGAGCGTTGGGTCAAGTACTAGCGTCAGGTCAGGCACATGCGTCGGGTGAGATACAACCGTCGGGTCAGGTACAAGTGTCGGGTTAGATTCGACCGTCGGGCTAGGTACGAACGTCGGGTCAGGTACGAGCGTCGGTTTAAGTACGAGCGTCGGGTCAGGTACGAGCGTCAGGTCAGGTACTAGCGTCGGGTCAGGTACTAGAGTCGGGTCAGATACATTCTTCGGGTCAGGTACGAGCGTCGGGTCAAATACAACCGTCGGGTTCGGTACGAGCGTCGGGTCAGGTACAAGCGTCGGGTTAGGTACAAGTGTCGGGTCAGGTACTAGCGTCGGGTCAGGCACATGCGTCGGGTGAGATACAACTGTCGGGTCAGGTACAAGTGTCAGGTTAGGTTCGACCCTCGGGTTAGATACGAGTGTTGGGTTAGGTATGAGCGTCGGGTTAGGTACGACCGTAGGGTTAGGTGAGAGCGTCGGGTCAGATACTAACGTCGCGTTAGGTACGAGCTTCGGTTCAGGTACGAGCGTTTGGTCAGGTACAAGCGTCGGGTCAGATACAACCGTCGGGTCAGGTACAAGTGTCGGGTCAAGTACAAACATCAGGCCAGGTACTAGCGTCGGGTCAGGTACAAGCGTTGAGTCAGGTACTAACGTCGGCTCAGGTATGAGCGTCGGCTTAGGTACGAGCGTCGGGTCAGGAACGAGTATCGGGTTAGGTACGAGCGTCGGGTTAGGAATGAGCGTCGGGTCAGGTACGAGCGTCGGGTCAGGTACGAGCGGTGGGTCAGGCACAAGCGTCTGGTCAGGTACAAGCGTCGGGTCAAATATGTGTGTCGGGTCAGGTACCAGCAATGGGTCAGGCACAAGCGTCGTGTCAGGTACAAGCGTCGGATCAAGTACGAGCGTCGGGTCAGGTACAAGCGTCGGATCAAGTACAAGCGTCGGGTCAGGTACAAGCTTCTTGTCAGATAGATACGTCAGGTCAGATACTACCATCAGGTCAGGTACATGCGTCGGGTCAGGTACAAGTGTCGGGTCAGGTACAAACGTCAGGCCAGGTACTAGCGTCGAGTCAGGTACTAACGTCGGGTCAGGTATGAGCGTCGGCTTAGGTATGAGCGTCGGGTCAGGAACGAGTATCGGGTTAGGTATGAGCGTCGGGTTAGGTACGAGCGTCGGGTCAGGTACGAGTATCAGGTTAGGTACGAGTGTCGGGTCAGGTATGAGCATTGGGTCAGGTACAAGCGTTGGGTCAGGTTCAAGCGTCGGGTCAGGTACAATCGTTGGGTCAAGTACAAGCGTTGGGTCAGGTACGAGTGTCAGGTCCGGTACATGCGTCAGGTTAGGTACATGCATCGGGTCAGGTACAAGCATCGGGTCAAGTACATACATTGGGTCAGGTACAAGCGTCGGGTCAGGTACATGCGTCAGGTCAGATACAACCATCGGGTCAGGTACAAGTGTCGGGTCAGGTACAAGTGTCGGGTCAGGTACAAACGTCAGGCCAGGTACTAGCGTCGGGTCAGGTACAAGTGTTGAGTCAGGTACTAACGTCGGGTCAGGTATGAGCGTCGGTTCAGGTACATGCGTCGGGTTAGGTTTGAGCGTCGGGTTAGGTACGAGCGCCGGGTCAGGTACAAGTGTTAGGTCAGGTACAAGCGTCGGGTCAGGTACAAGAGTTGGTTCAGGTACTAGCATCGGGTCTGGCAAAAGCGTCGGGTCAGGTACTAGCGTCGGGTCAGGTACGAGCGTCGGGTCAGGTACGAGCGTCTGGTTGGATAAGAGCGTCGGGTCAGGTACGAGCGTCGAGTTAGGTACGAGCGTCGGGTTAGGTACGAGCGTCGGGTTAGGTATGAACGTCGTGTCAGGTACGGGCGTCGGGTTAGGTACGAGCCTCAGGTCTGGTACGAGCTTCAGGTTAGGTACGAGCTTCAGGTTAGGTAAATGCGTCGGGTCAGGTACAAGCATCGGGTCAAGTACATACATTGGGTCAGGTACAAGCGTCGGGTCAGGTACATGCGTCAGTTCAGATACAACCGTCGGGTCAGGTACAAGTGTCGGGTCAGGTACAAACGTCAGGCCAGGTATTAGCATCGGGTCAGGTACAAGCGTTGAGTCAGGTACTAACGTCGGGTCAGGTATGAGCGTTGACTTAGGTACGAGCGTCGGGTCAGGAACGAGTATCAGGTTAGGTATGAGCGTCGGATTAGGTACGAGCGTCGGGTCAGGTACGAGTATCAGGTTAGGTAAGAGCGTTGGGTCAGGTACGAGTGTCAGGTTCGGTACATGCGTCGTGTCAGGTACAAGCGTCGGGTCAGGTACAAGCGTCGTGTCAGGTACAAGCGTCGGGTCAGGTACAAGCGTCGGGTCAGATACTAACGTCAGATCAGGTACGAGTGTCGGGTCAGGCACGAACGTCGGGTCAGGTAGAAGTGTCGGGTCAGGTATAAGAGTCGGTTCAAGTACATGCGTTGGGTTAGGTATGAGCGTCGGGTTAGGTACAACTGTCGGGATAGGTACGAGCGCCGGGTCAGGTACAAGTGTTAGGTCAGGTACAAGCATCGGGTCAGGTACAAGAGTTGGTTCAGGTACGTGCGTCGAGTCAGATACGAGCGTTGGGTCAAGCACTAGCGTCGGATCAGGCAAAAGCGTCGGGTCAGATACAACTATCAGATCAGGTACATGCGTCGGGTCAGGTGCAAGTGTCGGGTCAGGTACTAACGTCGGATCAGGTACAAGCGTCGGGTCAGGTCAGAGAATCAGGTCAGGCACGAGTGTCGAGTCAGGTACGAACGTCGGGTCAGGTACGAGCATCCGGTCAGTTACTAGCGTCGGGTCAGGTACTAGCGTCGGGTCAGGCAAAAACGTCGGGTCAGGTACTAGCGTCGGGTCAGGCAAAAGCGTCGGGTCAGGTACTAGCGTCGGGTCAGGTACGAGCGTCTGGTTAGATAAGAGCGTCGGGTCAGGTACGAGCATCGAGTTAGGTACGAGCGTCGGGTTAGGTACGAGCGTCGGGTTAGGTATGAACGTCGTGTCAGGTACGGGCGTCGGGTTAGATACGAGCCTCGGGTCAGGTACGAGCTTCAGGTTAGGTACGAGCGTAGGGTTAGGTACGAGCTTCAGGTTAGGTACATGAGAGAAAAGATGTTGGCTAATAATAAATAATAATAATAATAATAATAATAAAAATAAATTTTTATTCGGGAAAAGTACATACATAGTTGATTTACAAAAATAATGTTGGATTTAAAGATAGAGCTAGTACATACGATACCTAAAACCACTAATACGCATAGCATTATGGGCAAGCTGTGGAAAAAAAACACTTAGACTAAAACTTAATTGGGATTAGATATAAATTGTGTTGAAAAAAGGAATAAAAAATAAAAAAGAGGGAACATGGCAGAAATCAGCAATTGCACAAGTTGGAGAATAAACAGCATTGTTAACAAAAGCCAGACATGGGTTGACATCTATGGGGTTATGGTAGGTTACATGGAATTAAGTAGCACTTGGTTTTATTCATAAATTGTTTGAGAGAGGTACAGCCTTTAACATGATTGGGGAGACCATTCTACATTCTGGGTCCCTTGATTTGTAGAGCATTTCTAGTTGGTTAAGTCGCACTCTTGGAATATCAAATAGGTATTTGTTTCAGGTGTGATACCCATGAGTTCTGTTACAATCTTCTAGGAAGCTTCTAAGGTCAGGCTTGACATTGCAGTTCAGAGTTTTAAATATATAGAGTACGCATGAGAGGATGTGTAGTAACCTAATATCTAACATATTAAAAAATTTGAGTAATGGTACCAAGTGCTGTCTGAGGCCATAGATAGATGTTGTTCTAATAGCAGCTTTGTGTTGAATAATTAGAGGATGTAAATTATTTTGGGTAGTAGAACCCCAAGCACCAATACCATAATTGAGATAAGGATAGATGAGAGAGTAATAGAGCGTTAATTACCAGGGCCGGGCGAGGTACATAATGTCTGATCTTAGAAAGAATGTCAACAGTTTTAGAAAGTTTTTTTGATATATTTAGGATGTGTCCCTTGAAATTCAGCTTGTTATCGATGAGAACACCAAGGAATTTTCCATCTACCTTGTTACTAATTTGGATATTGTTTATTCTTAGATTAATTTGATTTGAGGATTCATTGCCAAACAAAATATAGAAAGTTTTGTCAAGGTTAAGGGTGAGTTTGTTGGCAGTTAGGCAAAGATGGACTTTAGTTAATTCAGTGTTCACTGTGACATTAAATAAACACTTTCGTGCTCTCCACAAACAGGACCAAAACTTGCTCGAAGAACAATTATTCGAACCCCAGTTGGAAACAGACCCAACTATAGGATGGGTTAACCCAAGTATATTTAGTAGTAAATTATCAAATCATGTTAACATTACAAACAAAAATGAGGGAAAGTTCCTTTGCCTATTCATATACAAGAGACATACAATTACACATC